CAGCAGATGACAGATGACTGATCTGTGTGAGGCTGTTTCGATATTGCTATTGGTTACTGATAAAATCTATTTAACAGATAGATTCCATGTTGCCGTGCGTCTGTTCAGTAATAGATCACAGATGACGTCGAAATGTGGTAAGAACAAAAAAGTGGCGCACGAGGCGACAGCCGAGTGTGTCACTCGAAAGCCGGCCTCTGCCTTCTTTGACAAACACGAAAAAAGCCAGTTGACGTAATCTATTGTCTATACATTTGAAGCAATGCCATTGGTTGCTATGCGTAGCAAAAGAATTATGATTGGTCTTAAAAAAATCATTGTCAACTGGAATTGAGCGTCGCTACTCGTAAATGAAAACTTACAGCGAAAGCAAAATTGAACTGCGGAATCTACAAATGTTAATGAAAATGCTGAGAAGTTAAGTCAGTTTTTGTCATCAGAGCAGCCCTCTGAGGCGGAAAGCTTGGATGTTGTCTTGAATATTGCAGGAGTTGAAAATATACGCTCGGAAAACTTGCGGTTGCGGTCAACACTGGAGGCCATTCGATTCGAGTTTTGAATGAAAGGAGCGTTAGTGACGGTGGAAATTTGTGTCCTCTGTGGTTGGTAATTCTCAACTCAGTTTGATATATTGTCGGAGACACCTTATAGCTGCGATACAGCTGGCCGTGAGTTGAAGTGAGCTACACTTTGCTCGCTGCTGTGCCCTGAAACGGACAGGAACATTTGTGTCGGAAATTTAAGTTATGTATTTATTTTAACTGATTTTAGGAAGTGATGTTTTGATGTTTCATTCCTGACATTGGGTTTGTTAAATTAGAGATAAAGCAATGGTTCTCGGCGTACCATGACCAATTTTGTGTTTGGTCTAGTCTCGCTCGGCTGTCGACTGCGACTCCTCGAGTATTTTTTCCGAGTAATTTTCTAAAACAGAAACGGCTTGTTCTATCTTCTTTCTGCTTCTCGTACATGTTCAATGCCTCGATGAGACTTTTTGTACCTTATCTTTTGCCCAGACACGCAAAATATTATCTCAACACTCAAAACTTTCCACCATTTTAAAACACAGAGAGAAAAGCTATTTCTCAGAAAGAAATAGTGTTTCGTGTCCGGGAAGGTATTCAAAGTCTAAGAAAGGCCGGGGGTTTTGATAACTTGTGCATGCGAAGTCCTGGGGTCAGGGGGATATGTGCTAATGCGCCGCTTTCCACCGCACTGATCTGCTCATTTGCCGGAACCTGAGGTTTTTCGTCCAGGTGAGGCTTATTACTGAACCTATTGTAAAAGAGAATGGGCTAATTAATTTAAGTTATCTACACATGTATCAGTTATTACGGTCAACGCGCTTCGAAATGTATTTACTTGTGATACTTCGCTTTGACTATGCCCTAGGGGAGGGGGTGCTCCCTTATATCGGCTATATAGGTATGTCCCGAGCGTCAGAGGGACATGTTTTTTTTGAGACATTTTAGTCAGAAGTAGTGTATCGATCTTGGTCATTTTATTCTCAACATGGGTATGGTTTTTGCACTCTAGTCTTGAATTGAGTATGTTTTTTAGCAGACGCTACTGTTTTCATCATTATCGATAAGACCAGCAACTAATGCCATTTACAGTGCCTTTAACATTATTCTGAACGAGAGAACTATGGTAGGTCTGAAACAGGATATTAATTTAAGGGTCAGGACATAAATAGGTTAGAAAAAATCGCAGACTTTGGTCTTGAATAGGGTAAGTGCCTTGGGAAGCGGGCCGCACAGCCCCACCAATTTTTTCAGAAATTCAAAGTATGGTGTGTGAGCAGGAGCCATAATCGAAGACGGAGACTGTAAGTCTTGGGATCCGCGCGCACCTACGATACGGGACAATTTTTCTATTTTTAGAACAAATTGCGCCATCCTGACGTCATATATCCGCGCGGATCCA